GTGCTGGGAATGCCGCTCCATGCGTTGGTTCCTGGGCAGCACCATTCCCCGGAGAAGGCGTTCGGGATGCGCTGAGCAACGGCCGCTCGGCAGCCGCTGCTCCAAGGGGAGACGGGTAAAATAAGCAGCGAGCGAGGCTGCCTCTCCCAGGGCTTGAGTCATCCCGGGAGGCAGAAGGGACCCACTACCTCCCAGCCAGATGTTAATGCCAGGGCTGCAGCTGTGGCCCAGGATGCAGAGTCATCATCCCAGATGCAAAGCCATCACCCGGGATGCAAAGCCATCCGTGCGGGATGGCTTGGGTGCAAAGCCATTGGGAGGAGAGGGCAGGTGACATTTTCCTTTCACAGCTCTGGGGCTCTTGCCCACCCGCAGCAGCGTTTAATTTCTCCATGGGAGGGAAGGGAGATAATGCGACTTGGTCCCATTTAACCTGCTGGTGACCTGGTCTCAAGTCATTGTGGCTGAAAATAGCCCGTGTTCCCTCCAGGGCACAGCTAATGGCTCTGGGAAAGCTGGGATGGCGCTTTGAACACTGACTTAATTGCTGCTGGCAGGTGATGTGGGACCGTGTCCCCCTCCTGCGCGTGGGCAGCTCCGTACGAGCAGGATGGTAGCGCGGGTAGCGTGGGGCCGTGAGCGGGTTTGTGTGTGCAGGGTTTGGGAACCCAGGCGTCCTGGAAGGAGCAGGAGCCTGTGCGTTAGCATTAGATCTTTGCACTGATTTAGAGTGATTTAAAGACGAGAAAAAGCCGGGTGGGCTAAATTTCCATTCAGGGAAGGAGGGGAGAACCAGGGATGAACGCATTCGCCTGGCGCCCGCCCAGCCCTGGTCCACGGAGCCGCTTTGCTGCAAGATTGGGCATGGCAGGCGTTGCTTTGGGTGGGAAACACTGCAGAAGAAATGGGGAACGTGAGAGCTCAGCTGCTGCTGGCTGGCGCCGCGCAGGTTCTCACGGCAGACGGTGCCCTTATGCTTTCCTTGCGCGAGCGAGCGCACTGTCTTTGGGAGATGGGCTGCGGTCTCTTTGCACGCAGGTGGTGCGAGCGCGAGCAAGACCCAGGGTCCATCCGTGATGACCAGGGAGATTCAAACTGTTGGAGCACCGTTCCTCACCTACTGGCCTGTTTTCAGGTCTGTAAAGCAGGGAGTATGTTGCAAATATAGAGCAGTTCAACAGCCTGTCAGTCCGCTCCCAGCCGAAAGCCAAATTGCAGCACGCATGCTCCTGCTACGCAGCAGAAAGGTACTGCCTGGAGGAGAGGCCAAAATACCGTGTTGTTAAGGGTTAAAAGCTGTAATTATGTCTTGTAGCCCCTTGGAGCATCTGCAGAGCCGTAGGCTAAAGGATCCAGGTGCATCAAAATGGGAAAGAACTTCCCTCCGATGGGAGCTGGACTGGTAGCTTGGCAGTGCCCTCGATGTCCCCCCAACACATTGCTTATTCTAGAGAGGAAAAGAAATGAATTGATTCACTCCCCCAAGGCGTTTTCTGGGAGCAGTGGAATCAGGAAACAGAGTGGATGGAGATGGCAGTGGGTTTTTTTTTAGGATTTCTCTGGAAAAGCCCGTTAGCACAAGCAAAGACACCCTGGTGGTGTCCTGGAAAATCAGGAGACCAAGTCTGGGCTGAAATCCAGCAGCCAGGTCCTGAGTTCTTGAGGATTTTGATGAACAGTCTGACAATCAGATAGATATTTTTAAATTTCCATACAGTGTCTTACTCAGTTTGGAGTGTGAGTTTTCTCCTTGCTATTTTAGGAGCACTTTGGGGGTTGTACAAAGAAAACCTCAAGGTCTTGATGGGAATTCGTTGGGATGTTGGGTTAATTTATGTCAGTGCAAAGAAGAGAGGTCCCTGGGCTGGGGGCTTTGGAGCTGGGGACATGGTTGAGAGGCCTCTGCTCTTCCAGTGAGCTGAGAAATGGGGCCATTAACCCTGATTTGCCTGTTTTCAGGGTTTGGACCCGCTTCTTCCCTCTTTTCTCCTCCCCGATGTCTCCGGAGCATGGGGTTGTTCCCAGTCCCCTGGTTGCAGTCACGCTCCTGGGCGAGGGGACAAGGTGGGATGTGGAGGGATGATTTTTTTCCCCTCCACCCCGTGATTCCCCCCTTCTCCTGCACGCCCGTCTGGGTGGTTTGTCCGTGGGGCGAGTGCGATTCCTCAGCAGAATCGCAGCCCTGGACAGGGCTGCGGGAGGGCGCCCGGTGTTCCCGTGTTGACGCAGCTGCGCGTGATAGTAAACATTGAGCAAGAGGCACTTTAAAAATAAAACAGCCTGGACACGTATTCCCACGTGCAGTAAAATGAAATTAAAAAGAAACAATAGAGGTCTGTGAGGAGCCCAGGACTTGCCTTGGCTTTTAAGGTGGTGCTTTTGCAGCAATGGGAAAAGCAGCCCAAGGGCGTTTGAGATGGCAAAGGCTGCGGTTGTGGACCCCTCTGTGAAAAATGCAGGGTTTTTTGCTGCATTGCTGAGATCTCAGAGTGCTCCAGGACCCGCGGGAGATCAAACAGGGAGTTAAACTGCGGTGCTGCCGTATGCAGGGGGTGAGACTGGAGGCTTTCAGGGGACGTGCAGCACCAAGGCTGTAAATTAAGCCTAAAAGCAACTGCCAGGCCCGTGCACGGGGTGCGAACACGGCCCGGGGAGGCTTGGGGCTGGGTGCTGGGTTGCAGCGGCCGCGGGGGCAGCCCGGGGGGGACGCGGGACAGGCCGGGTGCACCTGATGCGGGCGCTCGGGTTTCAGCCTGCCGTGTTCGGGGGCTCGCGTTGCTGTCATCTCGTGTATGGCACCGAGTCAAAGCGGCTCTGGTGCCTCGGGTGTCACCGGAGCCACCCGGGCAGGCAGGGGAGGAGGTGGCAAAGATTTACACTGTCAGCGCTCCCCGGTCCCAGCTGTTTAGGGCCGTAAGCGTGTGCAGGAGCGATGCATAGTGTGCAGGAACACGATGTAAGTATGTGCAGGAGCAATGTGCAAGTGCCTGCATAAGCATGTGCAGGAGCACTATGTGAGTGTGCAGGACCAAGCGTGTGTAGGAGCAGTAGCTGCCCCTGGTGCTCGCGGGATGCTCTTACCATCCGGGTGCTCGCTGAGCTCAGATTCCCCCCGCCAGGAAGCGGGGACTTTAGCGGACATGAGCGTTTATCCAGTTGTTTGTGTCCTGGCCCGCTGTCCCACTTGGCAGCGCGTGGCGCTCGGGGCCGGACTGAGGAGGAGGTGACGGAGCTGCGGGCCAAGGGCGGCTGCGGCCGCCAGCTGCAGGGACCCCGGCTGCAGCCCGCGCCGCAAATCCCCTCCCTGCCCAGCGTGAGGGAGAAGGAGGCAGCAGCAAACCCGAACCCACACCTTAGTTTCCCCCAAAACCGCCCGGGGACGGTGAATTTTGGCAGGCGCCGCGTGCCGAGGTGCTCCGCGCGCTCCCTCCGTTGCAGGCCGGACGGGGGGCGGGCGGTGTGCTCGCAGTTGGCAATATTTCATAAGCGGCAGAAACCCGTAACGGGCCCAGCGGGGAGAGTTACTCAACCGCTTTCCGGTGCGCGGGGCTGCAGGGCAGAGGCCAGTGCACGGGGTTGCTCTTAGGGATGCACCTTGGGGACAGTGCTGCCTGCCCAGGACGCTGTATCCTGCTGCACGGCTCCTTGCAAGGTGACAGCGGGGACCGGGGAGCTGTCCTTGCACTGATGCTGCTGCGGGTGCAGCCGGGACACCGATGGGTGATTTGGAGCTGCACAGAGCCACGTGCAGCCCCTTTCCCTTCCGCTTCGCCCGGAGCCGCCTCCGGACGTTTGGCGTGTGGTTTGTGCGGTCGCTGCTATCTCCCCTGCCCGGCGGTCACGGCCCCGCTCGGCGGTGAGTCAACCCCACCGTTTCGGAGAGCTCAGCGGAGGGAAAGCGGTTTGCAGCGGGGCTGACACATCTGCACCCGCTGAGTTCCTCCAGCCGTGGCCCGTAGTGCTTTACGGGACGTTATATGGTGGGCGACCAAATGGGGACACGCATCTGGGCCACCTGCTCTCACCTTCCTGGGGAGGCTCCCGGTGGGCACAGGGGCATGCGGGGAGGCAGCGGGTGCTGGAAAGACCTTTTTTCCACCCATTACTCCCCCCATCTTTCCTCCCTGCTCACATGAAGCTCTCCAGAACAGGCTGGAGAGCCAGTGACCAGCTCTGCGTCCCCTCATGCCGGGCTGCTTTGAGTCCCTGTGGCGCCCATGCTGGCGATGCTTTTTGGGGGCAGACGCACATTTTTGTCAGGAACGGGGGCCCAGCCGGTGTCGGGCCGTCGGCGCCGGTGCTCGCGCTCCGTGCCCGCGCTGTCCCAGCAGTGCCAAGCCGCCTGCGGGCAAGCAGCCGGAGCGTGGCGCAGCCTGCCGGGACCTGTCGGCGTGTCCCTGGGCAAAAAGGGATCTTGCGCTGGTTCAGCAAACGCTCTGACCCCGGGCAGATGGAGGCGGTTGCGGTTTCCCCCTTTTCCCCTCCCTTTCTCCTGGCAGGAGCCCATGCTCGGGGTGAGCCGTACGTTGCTCGCTGCGGTAGAGTTTCTCCCCTTGGCATCGCTTTCTGGCTCGCAGATCCAAGGAGGAAGCGACTTGCCCACGGCGGCCTCCTGCAAACGGAGCTGCTCAGTGTGTAAAGGAGCTGACCCGGCGCCGGGGCCGCTCGGCGGGAGCAGGGCAGCGGGTTTCGGGCTGTGCGCGGAGGGAGCTTAGGGGCTGTGTGCGGCGTGGGGTGCTCTCACGCTGCCTTCAGGGGGGATTTGCACAGGGTTGATCCCTGGGAAGGCTCCTGACAAGGCATCCTCCTGGGAAATGCAGCTTCTCCCGCTGGGCACTTAGCAGGGGTGGCTTCTGGGCTTGTTTGGTGGCATCGGAGAGGGGCGGATGGAAACCTGCCCCGTGCTGGATCTGGTGTGTCCTGGGCACGGAGCGGGATGGAGCAGTGGGGCCTGCCAACACGGTGCATCCCCTGACTCTGGTGGGGGCTCATTGGATAGGATGGTGCCAGAAGATGAGGATCATTCCCAGTATGACCAGGAATGTAACTGGCACCCAAATACCTTTCTTAAGCTACCTACCTAGCTTAAGCTGCGTGCAGGCGTCCTGGTACTGGATGGCAGGGCTGTGTCATTTCCTCTTTGCAGGGCTCAGCATGTGGCTATTGAGGCCACTGCTGTCACCATGCACGGGTGGGCACTTCCATTCCCAGGGATATGGGTTGCTCCGTGTTTCCAGGTGCGGGCAGAGCCGGGGGTGGAGGTGGTGGCCACAGTGACTGCACTTCAAAGGAGAGCTGCTCACAGCTGGTAAATCTCTGGGAAAATCCATGCCTGGATGATGCCCAGCTCCCTCCAGCCCTGCAAGGAGAAAATGCATTTGCCGTCCACAGCAAGGGCTAAGATTTTGGGGTTACAAGGCAAGGTGCAAATGTGTATGCATGCACCGTGCATGAGATCAGGCAGCAGCTTTCCCCCATTGGGACCGAACTCCACTCCACTTGAGCTTTGTGGAGCCCGCGGCTCCCGTGTCCTGCTGCAGCGGGTGACGCCGTGGGGACGGGCTGCGCGCGGGGAGCGCGCACTGCCCCGAGCCAGACGGGCCGTGGAATTGAGCCAGGAGCTGTGCAGAGCAGCGCCTTGGTGAAGCACATGTGCCGGCTTGCAAATATGTACGCGGAAGAGATCCCGGCTGTCTAAATAATGTGAAATATTGACTAGCTCTTGCAGATGGTGCTCCACATGCAGCGTCGGTACTGAACTTCTCCTTGTGGGCTTTGGTGGGATTTTATTTTTTTCATCCAGGTGGATGCTGGACCCTTGATAAACTCGGTGGCACCTCTTGCTTTCTGTGGGGCAGTTGAGTTTGGGCAAGTTTTGTTGTTAGAGGAGTCTGAGCACAAGGGGGAAGGCAGAGGATTGGGAGAGCTTGCCTGCTTCCTCCAGATTTTCCTGCTGGCTTTTACGCCTTTTTTAAGTGATTGCACAAACTGGGAAGTGGCTGCAGCGCTGAGCGCGGTGCGTGGATTTTGCAATATTGCCCGCGTGCCGTTTGGTGGCAGTGTTGCAGAAGAGTTGCCGTGTGGAGCCGAGAGCTGGTTTTATCACTGTTGTGATGATGATCATCTCCGTGACAAAATGCCGCGGATGATTGTTTGTGTGAGGATGCTGTTGGGGCTCCTGAGGTGCCAGTGTCCTGGACACGGGCCAGCCCGTTGCCAGCAGGGCCTTGGGGACATGCTGCTTTCATACCGTGGTGATGGGCAGCAGGTTTTCTGCTCCATTTTGCTTATCCCCCCCAGATAAGATGCTGGTTAGAGACACTTTGTGCAAGCTCTTGCAGACGATGCTTTCGAACTTGCTTTCCTCAAAACCACTCTTATCAGCACCGGGGAAGCGTCCCAAGGATCGCCCTCGCCTCCGGGCAGCTGAGCCTGCAATAAAACACCTTATCACCCCGCTGTTGAGTCTTTTTTGCCCGCAGATTTGTGTCTGTGCCGTAAGGCAGACCCATGGCCGAGAGGCGAGCTGGGGGCCGAGCCGTGGGCTGCATCTCGCTGACGCGCGGGGGCTCGGTAGCCGCAACAGTCTGCGCTCCCGCGGGCTCGTTCCAGCGCGCCGTGGGGGCTGAGACGTGTTTCCTTCTTCTGTTGCCGCAGGCTTTTCCCATCTGCCGAACGGGCTGTACCCGTCCTACATCCCCCTGAGCCACCTGGAGCCCCCCAGTGCCGGCAGTCCCCTCCTGGCGCAGCTGGGGCAGCACAGCCTCTTCGAGTCGCAGAAAGGTCAGTGCGGGTCCCCGGCCATCATGCTGGTCCCTGGTCATCATAAGGGTCTGGGTCTGGGGCCTCCAGAGAGTTTCCGGGTGCTGGGATGTCGGGGGGAAAAACGGGAATCCCATGGGATCGGTGCCTGGGGTGTTTTCTGGGTAGGTGAGGATGCTGCTAGGACGGATGAGTGTCCGTCCCTGCTTTCCCAAGTTTTCTGCTCTTAGAACAGCCTTGAAGATGGAGGGTTCCTCAGGGGCTGTGGGGAAGGTCCTAGCAACACCCTTCTCCTTCCAACCCCTTCCTCTGCCATTCGGGATGTGTTCCTGGGAACCAGCCAGGTCTCAGTGTGCACCGGAGATAGGACTGTCCTGCATCTCACAGGGATGTCCCTGCCTGCCTCTCCTTTGCCCTGGTCATGCTCCAGCATCCAAAAAACCCTGTTACCTCCCCGTTGGCTACCTCTTGCCTGTCTCCACATAGTTTTTTGCTGAGGAGGGTGGAGGCCCCTGCTAATATCTCTTGCTTTTGCCCCACAGATGGGTTCTACCTGTCGGGCCACGCGGGCCAGTCCGCTCTGCACCCGCAGCCGCCGCTCTCGAGGAGCGCGGGCAGCCCCACGCCGAGCGCGCTGCTGCGGGAGAAGGACCTCGGGCAGCTGCACAAGAGCTCCAAAGAAAGCCTGAAAGACCCCGGCGGGAAGGAGCGGGCATGCCGGAGCGACCTGCCCTTGCCCTTCGCCAAGAAGGAGGGCAAGCCCAAGGAGGAGCCGCGGCCGCGCAGCGTGGTGGACCTCACGCAGGACACCAAGCCCGAGGGCGAGCGGAAGGCCAGCGTGGTGGAGAAGGCGGTGAA